TTTCAACGGCGCCTAAGTAATCCTTCCTAACCGAAACACGTTTCAGAATTTCAGTCAACATTTCATGAGATAGGTCACTCACTGTATCTGAAGACCTCTGTAGAAGCGCTAATTAAAAAGGTTGTGCAGACCAACGACTACATTGCGTATCTAGTTTGTTTTTTATGTGGACATAAAAACCGACCTTTATAAAACCTTCGCGCAATTCCTGTGATACAACATACTGACATCAAATCAGAAAATCTGTCTGCATGCGTTTATGGACGTCGAATGACTACAAAGAAATAAAGTCTGTTTAAAGTGTCCGTGCATATTCGGCATACTAGGCACAACTTTGCTTTCAACAGAATTTGCATATTTGCATTCCTCCATTCGAGAATGGCCGAGGGTTGCTAGTGGGCACATGTGCGGACGAGATTGCCTCGGTTGACATGCCGTTCTCGACGTTACATAAATAATCTCAAGATGCAGGGGATAACATGGTAGCTTACGGCTCCAGTTTATTGAGCCAAACGTAGTATGAGTATTAATCTAAGGCGCTTTAAAGAAATTTAACCGAGTTGCACATTAGCTGTACGTCTGGCAACACCTCGGAAAACGGTGTAAAAAGTTTATAGAATAAGATCTATTTCCTATCAGAGGTACTAACGGATTTGTACATATCAAATGAGCATAAAAATAAGTTCGTAAATAAAGCGGCTATGAATGCATCATTTTGAATAATGTACACCAAACGACAAATCTGGTCATGTGACAGATAAAGATTCAATAGCGCTTGTACTTTTGGATGTCGACTAATTTGTAGGAAACAGCAATGAAGCTGTTCTCTTTCTGTATATTATAACTAATTTGTCTATTACTTCCCCATAAACCCAATAATTCATTTGAACTTAAAAACATCCGTAAGCGTAAATTTTTCTATTCAGTTTTTGGGCCTCGCTTAAACTCGCAAAATGATTGATCATTTCCGTTTGTGGACATCTAAAAAAAACGCGACATTATAACTAAACTCACAAAATACTCCCGGCACACAACTCCATATTAGCTAGTCCTTTCTAGTGAAAAAAAGACATTTTCTCTGAAAGGCAAAGCTATTAAAATATTAGGGAGATAAGAGAAGGGCGCGCTGGAAAAATCGTTTTGCAGCCTGTTTAGGAAAGGTTAGAAAAGCCGTGGTAAGTCTATTGAAGATATTTGAATTGTGTTTCCATTTCATACATGGGTCTCAAGAACCTCATTTTGACTGCGGCCAATAAATACTTAAACTGTCACTAAATCAGAGACCGTTTTAAAGCGAATGACTTCTTCCATCGGGATTCAGCTAACGGGCAACATTTAAGGCCGCATTAATATATTTTCTCTACTCGGTTCTGCTGTAGATTTTATACTGATTGAAGACCTTGGGCTCTAATGAAGTAGCTACTGGATGGTTAATTTTACGTCTCTCGGGTGCTTTTTGCTAATAATTATACGACGAATAGATTTCAGCTCGTTTCTATACGTACGCAAAGGTAGTGGCCTATCGTTCCAGGCTATCACGTAACAACAAATTTGCGGAAGCCGAAAGGAGCACCATGGCAGAAGGCAGTCTTGTCCATTGTTCATAAACGATGCAGATATGAACAAAATTACAGTAAATGTCAACCGAAATTCCAAATTCGTTTTCGTTTCGAAAGGATTAATTAAGTAAGGTTGTAAAACCCATCATCTTGCAGCATAATTCTATAGTAATTCAATTACCTCAGGATGCCGGCTTTCAAATAAACTTCTTTTCGGCTGCATGCATGAAGTACACTCTGTAAAAAATGACTATTTAAGCAGCATGAAATTTTCTCTTTGATTTCCGATGCCCTTAAAAAGTCAATTATACTTAATAGAAAACGTGCAAAAAAGTTTCATTATTTTTCTCATTCGGTAGAAAATTGCGTCCTTTTTTCTTTTTTATGCTAGAAGAAAGAATCTAATTTGGTTTCAAAAA